CTCTCTCTCTCTCTCTCTCTCTCTCTCTCTCTCTCTCTCTCTCTCTCTCCCCTCTCTCTCAGCACATTAATAACTTCATCTGGCAGGGAGATGAATAGTTGTCTGCCACACCTATTCATCTCTGCCCCCTGTCTTTTGTCCCCAGAGTTTGGGTGGGGCTTCACTAGCAGTAGTGGCTCGTCTGTCCCAAGGACCGGCCCATAGATTTCCTTTGCTCTCCTCTCCTCTGCCTTCTGCTTATCAGGCACTGGGCACAGCTCCTCCTCCTCTTCCTCATCAGCCACCTCCAGACCTGGGAAGTGTTGACTCTCCATCTGAGGGCTGACGGATGGCCCAGGCTCCCGTTTGTGTATTTTTGACAGCTCCCTTCCCTCTTCCCCCTCGGAGCTCCCGGGTTGCCTTGATGCCTCCTCCTCCTCCTCTGATTTGGCTGCTGGAGGGACCAGCAGCCAACAGGCCACAACAGGGCCCCTTGTGAGGACTCTTCTCTTTCTTCCAGGGGAGGCTTGTCGTGTCCAAGAAATTCGGCTATTTTCCCAGCTCGTTGGTTAAGCCTTGCCCAGTGGACGCCCGGGTAAGAGTCCTGGAGGCAGGAAGCTGCAGGAGCCATAATCAATGCCATGTCCCCCACCCTCACTCCACAATTGAGGCCCCGGACTAATGGCTGCTGGTTTCAGGGGCTGACACCCTTTCTTTTAGTTTGTGGATCAATTCCCTCCTTCTGGCCCTGGGGGTCTTCTGCCCCACTGTTCAGACCACCCCTGCATGGGGATGCCCTTGGGAAGAATTCATTAGAATCAACCATTCCTTTGTTCTCTGCTGCAGCCTCCCAACAACCGCCCTCCTTCACGAGAGATGGACTATTCCACATACCCCTGGTGAGTTGGGTGGGTGGGATTGGCTGGGCCCCTCCCCCTAATCTGGAATCTCATCGGTGAGGAAATGGGGGGGGGATTCAAAGCTAGTGGGATGCGGGGGACAGTTTCTTGCCTGCTGGGTGCAACCCGCTCTCTGTTCAGCATCGCTCTTCAAAACAACCAGCCCTCTGGCCCTGAGGAATTAAATGGGAGACCTCAAACGAATCGTTTCTCTCGGAGTCCAGTTGACAGTCCAGTTCCTTGGAAGAGCTGCCAAAATTTGGAGAGTCATATTTGTGGAAGCCTTTCTTGGTTTTCTAAACCTTTCCCAGTTGCACCTGTGAAAAGGAAGAAAAAGCATCTGATTTTTTTTTAAAAACCCAACCCTCCCTGTCCTGTGGGGCAGAGTTCCCCAGCGGTTCCAACTTTGTGGAGGTGGGGGGGGGATGGTTTTGCATGAGTGGCCAGCAAGCGTGCGTGGGCAGCTCCATTTGCACAAGTGGCTTGCATGCACACCTGCCCCTCATGCAAATGGAAAGTGCGTGCATTCACTGGTCATTTCCACTGCCCAGTAGCACACAGCCCCCCCCCCTGGCCCTCTGATGGTTTTCGATGTGCTGTTGCCTTTTCAGCCAAAGGGTGGTGGGGAATGGGATTATTGCAGTGGGGTTGGTGACGGCAGAGGACCGAAGAATCTTGATCTTGAAGTGGCCTCCTCTTCGATGGGGGTTTTCTGGAAGGTATTTCTTGAAGCCACAACCTGGAGCCACAGAAGAGGGCCTCATTGTCCCCCGAGTTTGTAGAGGTGCACAATTGCAGATGAGGGTAGCTGGAGAAGAATGGGGGGCTGAGGAGACTTGGGATTGGAGCAGCAGGAGGTGCGAAGGAGAAGACCAAGGGGTCCAGGGGGATTCTGGCATGAGACCCAGCTTCTCCCAAGGATGTCTTTGGAGGTTGTGGGATCTTCATCCCTGGAGGCTTTCAAGAAGAGATGGGCTGCCATCTGTCAAAAATGGTGTAGGGTCTCCTGCTTGGGTGCAGGGGTTGGACTAGATGACCTCCAAGGTCCTTTCCAATTCTGTTAATCTGTCCCTTGATGGCCCCTCACCATGTGCAGGGAGGTTCAGCCTGTGCCTGCATGGTTCAGACCATCCCACTCACAGCTGATTCAGAATGGGAATAAGATTTAAATTAATTTTGCTAGGTTGAAGAATGGCTGAGATGAAGAACATCTAATGTAACAGGTGGATGCCAAATTACTATAGAGGAAACAAGAATTAAATGGAGAACTATTAGAATAGATGTAGCTGGCTCACTATGTTATTGATGAAGCAGTCCTGGAATAATTGTTTATTAAAGTCAAAGAAGAGCCAACCGTGTGACGTGGCTGTAGAAGAAAGGCCAATCCACAGCAGCCCAGATGCCACCAGAGAAGAACTCCAGCCTCCCTTCATTGGGGCTGCCCAGTTCTGCCTGCTGAGCTGGAAGCAGCTCAGAGAATTTAGAAGGGAGTCAAAGAAAGGCATTCAGGGGAGAAGAGAAAAATTAGGGGACGGGGGGGAGGAAAGATCAGCTCTCTCTGGTCACCCAGTCAAGCAGGGAGAGCAGAGACTCCTAAGAGCAGCTGGACAGGAGATTCCGTGATCTGGAGAGAGGGGGGGAGGGGGCTGGATTCAGGGATTTTCGTTCCAACCCTGGGATGCTCTGAGCATGGTGGGGCTGTAATACGGAGTCCTGTGGAACCGTCAGCTGGGCTTTTTCCATACCTGCCATGGGGAGGCATCAGGGCTGCCAAGGGCCCCGTTTCCCCAAAGCCCTGCAGGGCCACAAACCCCCAACTGTCGATAGGACCGGCCAGCTGCTTCTGCCCCCAGGCTGTCTCCGATGACCAGGCCCAGCTCCCCAGCTCCTCTCTCTGTGCCAGGGGCTCCCTGCAGACCGCCAGAGGGATGCCAGAGGGATCTAAGGGGATCCCTCCTAACCCAGAGGGTGGATCTTAGGTTTGCAGGCAGCATGGAGAGGCAGCAGACGGACAACCTCCTGAAGCAGCACGCCAGCGGAACCTACCTGATCCGGGAGAGGCCAGCCGAAGCCGAGCGTTTCGCCATCAGCATCAAGTCAGTGGCCTCGAAGGGCAGCTTCTCGCACCCATGGGGGGCAGGCAGGGTCTCCCCCTCCCAAGAACAGGAGCCCGGGTTCATACAGCTTCCAGACCCTTCCTTCCTGTTCCAAAGAGTTACACAGGGCTTAATAAGGGGCGGCCCTGAGAAAAGCCCCCCGTGGGCCCCTTTTAAACCCCTTTGTACTTGCTGAGGTTTTTAGAGTTCGCTGAAGGTAACTTTTCTGCTTCCAATAATTGGTCCAAAATTAGTCTGGGTGATGGTCCTCCCTGGCAGACCCCATTCACATCTCAAGACCTCAAGGGGAGGGTCTGCTTGGCCTCTCTGGTGGAGCAAGCCTTCAACTGGGCCTCCAGCATTTCAGCACATAAGCCCCCCCTCACCCCCACTGCCAGAAGGGACCTTGGGCTGTTGAAGTCTGGCCAATTTAAGCCCGGCTCTGCCAGGCTTCTCCGTGGGGCAAATCTGGAGGGTGAAGGTCGGTGGGCTTTTGGGTGGGGAACTTCCCTGCCAGACCTCCTGAAACCTCTGCCCTCCCCCTCACAGGTTTAATGACGAGGTGAAGCACATTAAAGTGGTTGAAAAAGAGAACTGGATCCACATCACAGAAGCCAAAAAGTTTGAAAGCCTCTTGGTAGGTTGGCCTTTGGGTGAAAAGGATCCTTGTCTTGGACCAGGTCTTCCTGGAGGCTTCAAGGGGCTTCTTCGTCCTGTCTTCTGCAGGAATTGGTGGAGTACTACCAAGCCCATTCGCTGAAGGAGAGCTTCAAACAGCTGGACACGACCTTAAAGTATCCTTACAAATCCCGGGAACGCTCAGCCTCAAGAACCTTAGCTCGGTCCCCGGGTAAGGACCCTCTGCATCCGGCTGGGGATCACGGAGCAGATGGAGAGCTTGCAAAAGGAGCCCCCTCCCCTTTGCTCCCACCAGCTGAAGCCCTGTGGCTGCATAGCTGCACCCTTCCCCCAGGCTGCCTCTTGAAGGCCCAGTCCCCTTGCTTTCCGGTTGGCCTGAAGGCCTGGCTGGCCGGCAGTGAAGCCCAGCAGTGGAAAGACTCCAGCCCCATGGCTCTTCACCCACAGCAACCAGCCCAGCAGGGCGAGGGTCCAGTCTAAGCAGGGGTGGTCAGGGGCTGCTTTTCGGTCAATGGATTGGAGGGAGGTGCTTGCAACAAACCTCCAGCTTTACACCCACCTACACGCACCACCCCCCAGCAGCCACCCTCCCCTCAGCAGGGACGTGCTGGGGAAGGCCCTCCCCCTCCCCCTTCTCTTTTCCTCTTTGGAAGCTGGTCTCTTCCTCCCTCCAGAAGGAACTCAGGGCAGCATCTCAAGCGCTCCAAAATCCCAGAAATGGCAGAGACATTCTAAAAGGGCCCTGACAAACCATTTTAAAGCCTGAATTTGAGTTTATGAAAAGGCCACTGGAGTTATTGTGGAAGGGTTTAGGCCAGATATCTCAGCCTGGATGGGGAGAAAGTCAAACACACATACACACACCCGCCAGAGAAAGCAGGAATTCCCTGCCCTCTGCCCGGCTCTCTCAGGAAAGCCCCAAATGTTGCAAATCCCCCCAACTGGCCACAAAGCCCCCCCCTCCTCCCATGGGTGAGGGGTCAGTGAGGAAGGGGCTGGTCTGAGGGTGGACAAGCAAGGTGACCGGTGGGCTTTGCTTGACCAGAAGGCTCCAGCTGAGTGTTATGGCTCAGGCCGAGATTGCTGGGTGGTCCCTCCGTTGGGATTCTGGCTTCATCCCCAAGACCCATTCGGAGATGAGGAGGAGAAAGGCTGGGCTGAAGCTGGGGCTGCGTCTGGGCTTTCCAAAGGCCCTCGGTGGCTCCAAGCTGCACTTCACAGTCTGGTTGGCCCTTGCTGGGCAGCTGCAGCTGGGAGTCATTTGGTGCTTTAAGGACAGGGGCAAAACCCTTCCCACCGGCTGAGTGAGCCTTCCCTGGCCCTGCAGGCACCCGTGCCCTTCCCAGGCTAATGCTTTGCTTGACCCCCTCCAGGCAGGAGAGAGCCTGGCTCCCTCTGCAAACATCGGCACTTCCTCTGGGGAGACAGATAGGGTCGAGAGGCTGGTCAGCCATGCAGAGCACCTCCCTCTTCCTGTCAGGCCGAAGCATGAAGAGCAGGGGGGGGGACGACTGGGGGGGGGCTTTTCGCCTGCCTTGCTGATTTCTCCCATTTCGTAAATGTCCCCCTTTAATACTGTCTCCCCCTCCCTCCCTCTCTCCCTCCCTCCCCTTTCTCCTGCTGCCTCCATTTCCCTCTAACTTCTTTTCTGCAGCTGCCTGCGCTTCCTACAATTTTTCCTTTCTCAGTCCTCAGGGCCACCACCTCACTTCTCAGAATCCCTCCACTCCTTTTTGGTCAGGTAGATATATATAGCTCTCTCTCTCTCCTCTCTCTCTCCTCTCTCTCTCTCTCTCCTCTCTCTCTCTCTCTCTCTCTCTCTGTCTCTGTGTTTGTGTCTCTGGATACAATAAGTATAGATGATTATATATATCTAGATATGCATGCAGAGGTTCCCATCCATTTGCTGGACAGTGACACATGCTGGTCATCTAAGGAAGGACGGGGTTGACCCTCTGCCCACAGCTGGCAGATCAGCCATCTGCTCCCAGTCCAGCCTTGGCAGGTCAGCCTCACAGCAGCTGAGAAAGACTACTTGTGGCAGAAAGAAAGGAAAATTCAGCCAGAAGCCACAGAACTTGGAAAATGGACAGGCCACGCTGGGGGAAGCCCCTTCACTTTTCTCCTTTTATCTCCCCCGCCCGCCAGTCTTCACCCCTCGGGCCATCGGGACTGCAGTGGCCAGGTACAACTTTGCTGCCCGGGACATGCGGGAGCTCTCCCTGCAGGAAGGGGACGTGGTGAAGATTTACAGTCGGATCGGCGGGGATCAAGGCTGGTGGAAGGGAGAGGCCAACGGCCGAGTAAGTAGCCTCTGGAAGGGGCATGATCCTCTCGCCATTTTCCTTTCCGAATTGGGGAGGGGGCATCCAGCCAAGGAGCAGTGATGCATCCAGCTGGGCACAAGGTCAGTACCAGACCCTGCCCACTCAAGCCCACTCAGTCATAAAAGCCTCCCTCCCCCTCAGGCCTGGCCAGGTCCCATCCTCCTCCATCCTTAGGTTCCCTCCTAATTTCTTGCAGATTGGCTGGTTCCCTTCGACCTATGTGGAGGAAGAGGGGGTGCAGTGATGCCCAGGCTGGCAGGAGCTTCTGTCCCCAAGGGCAGCCCTGGCCCGTCTCTGGGCCTCCGAGGGAAACAGGACTGTTCTTCCAGCACTGAGAAAAGACCCTCCCTGGCCCCCTCCGCAGCCCCTGGGTGGGAGTGCATGAGGGGCATGTGCAGCGGCGGGGCTGGGGGCAGGTGTGCGCACGGGCAAGGCACAGCTGCTTCTCTTCTGCAAATTTCCTGGCACAGAAGAACCAAACACCGTTTGCAGAAAACCACGAAGCCTCTGGGAAAGGAAGGAAGGCAGGCAGGAGCCGATGGCCTGGCCAGAAGGGGCTGCACTACAAGGTCTTCTGAGGTGTGGAAGATGGACTTGGTGGTCTCTGGTGCTTGGGTGGGATACTAGAAGAAATGCTTCTCTAGGGTTTGGGAGGCCCAGAAGGATGTTGCAAAGGGGGCCCTTGGGTTAGGAATTTTGTGAGGGGGGGAGGCTTCTGCAAGTCCCAGCATCCCCTGTGGCTGTGGGCCAACTGAAGGGGCCCTAAATGTGAGTGGAGCCCTTTGTGGTCCAGCAGAAGCCATGTGAGCATCTCCAGACCTGCTGGGGTCCTTGCTGAATCTGTCTTGAATCCGGGGCCGCAGAGCAAACATCTGGCTGGAGAGAAGGAAGTGCAAGAGAGGTTGGCTGCCTCTCCCTCTGTTGTGTGGGTCTTTCCTCCATCAGTCCTGGGAACCTGTCTGAGCTGCTTCCAGGATGGGCACCGTGGCCTCCAGGAGCCTCTGCCAGTCGCACAACCAGCTTGGCCTGGCATCGGTTGGCCTTCTCGGGGCCTGCCGGCTCCCGCTGCCCTCCAAGGGCCCCAGAAAGCCTTTGCATTATTGCTCATCCTGCTGGCCAAATGATTTCCCTCCATTCAGGGGCCCCAGAGCTGGATGAGCTTCTGCTGGGAGAAGAGGCTGCCAAAGAGGATTAGCATCAAATAGAAGAGGCACCGTGCTCACAGCTACATGCAGATCCCCCAACTGGGGAGGTGCCGCGAAGGAGGGATCTCTCTGCCTTTCAGACTTTGGGAGAGAACCACTGGCCATGTGCAGGCCTTGAGACGGTTTAGCTCTCCCTTCCAAACAGACTCCAGGGCGCCCTTGAACCCCGAGCCGCTTCCCTGGCTTCCTCAGCTCTCTTGCAAAAGGCTTTGGTGCCATGGAGCTGCTTGTGGGGCAGGAACTTGGCCTTTCCAGGGAGGCTGCCCCATAGCGCCCTGAGATTGGCACAGCAGCCGCTCTGCCTGCCCACTCCCAGCAGATCTGCACGAATGCCCAGGAGCCCACAGTGGATTTGCCTCCTTTCACAGAGAGGTTTGCCTGGAATCAGCCTCAATTTTAAAACCCTTTTGGCTTTTCCAGGCTGCTTCTCCCCTTTCAGACAGCCTGGCAAACTATCATTCCTTGACATGGATGCCCCTCCAGAAATGGGGCTGGCCCTAGGCCAGAGAGATCTTTCCTTCCTTCCTTCCCCTTTTCAGGTAGGGAAATACCTACATATGGCAGAGAGAGGCAGTAAGTCTCTCCTTCCCTCCCCGCTCTTTCTTCTCCCCCCCCCCTCTCTCTCACACACACACAACCTGATCTCAACAAAGCTGGACGGGATCCCTGTACAACTCTCTGCGTCATCAGGCAAATCTCCCCAGGTGAGAGAGCTCAGCTGCCTAAGGCTCCCCTTAGACCAGTGGTTCTCAACCTGTGGGTCGGGACCCCTTTGGGGGTCGAACAACCCTTTCACAGGGGTCGCCTAAGACCATAGGAAAACACATATTTTCGATGGTCTTAGGAATCGAGACACCAATTTTATGGTTGGGGGTCACCACAACATGAGGAACTGTATTAAAGGGTCACAGCATTGGGAAGGTTGAGAACCATTGCCTTAGACTGAGGCAAGGGGGGTTAGGGAGGAGAAAGGAATGAGGAATCCATCTGTCTGGCCTGCAAAAACCCCTGTGACCACTAGATGGCACAAGAGGGACTTTGTGTGTTCTCTCTTTGCTGCTCTCTAGCTTTTGTCTGGAGTTCTGCAGCCTGGGATAGGATTCAGTGCTCTGAGCTGGGGCTGAGAGATGCTTTACAGAACCAGAGCAGAGAAATACACTGGCCGTATCTGCCAGGCCACTCGCTGGTTCCTCCTGGATGAGAAAGAGGCATAAGGGAGGGCCCACCGCAGCACACCCAGCAACAGAGGGCAGGGCATGCAGTATGTTCCTAACAGGCCCAGTCATCTGCCCCCCTTCCCCTCTTGGAGACCGCCTCTCTACTGTGCTGCAGGTGGGGCTGAGGCCATCAGGAAAAGTCCAGGCTCCAGGCCTGAGGCACCTGCTCTCCACCTGTTGCATCTTTCCCCTCTTTCTGGATCCCTCCAGAATCCCCCCCCCCGTCGATGCAGTGGGGGAAGGTGTGAGAGGAAGAGAAGGAACCCCCACCCCACCTGTGGAGTAGAAGCAAAAGAAAGCCAACCTGAGTCATCACCACGCCTGCATTTTCTGGGAAGGAGGCGAGGGATGAGCCCACTCCTTGGTGGAGTAGCCAAGGCCAGGGAAGGTTGGGCCGGGACTGGGAGGCTGAGGGGGAGCCCACTCCTCATGGAGACGAGGCCACCTGTGCAGGTTTGTTGTGGAGAAGAGCCGGTGAACCTTTATTGCAGACAATGCTTGTTTGAGCACATGCAGAGATTCAGCCTTTGCAGAAGTCCATCGAAGTTTGGGAAAGGAGGTCAGGCAAGAGGAAGAGTGAAAAGAGGCATTTCTTCTCAAACAAAAACAAGGGAAGACAATGCAATCGAACTGTGTGAGGTTGCCCTTCTGAAGAAAAAAAACCCCACTTCTTGATTGAAAAAAAGGAAGGCTGTTTTTTGTTTATTGATGTAACATTTCTTTTCTCCCCCAAGGAGGTGCTTGGTTTGTAATTAATTCCCCCCCCCCCCCCCCCCCCCCCCCCCCCCCCCCCCCCCCCCCCCCCCGCCACTCCCAGGAGCCCCCCCCCGGCCACTCTCCTACTTGTGAATAAGAAAAGGATTTTTTATTAAAAGGCAAAATATTGTACATATATTTTGATTTTGCAAAAACATTTTTAAAGAGAAAAATAATAATGGAACAATAATACGGACAACGTTCTCTGATGTGTTGGTCTCTTTTTTTACTTTCTTTTTGGCACTGTCCTTAATTGAGGCCAGGAGGGAATGGATGAAAAATGGGTAATATATTTAGATACACAATATCCTCAATTCCCAACACTTAGAGAAATCTCTTAATTTCTCTAGCAAACACTTTTCCTTGGTTGAGAATTTCCCCATGGTTTCCTGGGCCACCTGGCATCTGAGCACAGCAGGCATCTTGCCTATTTTTGACTTTGTGCCATTAAATCATTTTGACTCTTAGAGCCCAGAGGGATAGGTTTTGCCCTTAGTGATCTGTCCCCAACCTTTCTTTCAAGCCTCCCACAGGCACCTGGCTGCCAGTGAAGTCGCATCTGTTGTTCCACCTCAAACTACTTCTATTTTGCTGCTGCAGTGGGAGGCAGCCTTGAAATGAACCAGCTGCAAAGATAAAATATGAAATGTTGATTAAAAATGGTATATTTTAAATCAGTGGTTCTCAACCTGTGGGTCAAGACCCCTTTGGGGGTCGAACGACCCTTTCACAGGGGTCACCTAAGACCATCGGAACACACATATTTGCGATGGTCTTAGGAACCGAGACACCAATTTTATAGTTGGGGGTCACCACCACATGAGGAACTGTATTAAAGTGTCGCGGCATTGGAAAGGTTGAGAACCACTGATTTAAAATATACCATTTTTAATCAACATTTCATATTTTATCTTCGCAGCTGGTTCATTACAAGGCTGCCTCCCACTGCAGCAGCAAAATAGAAGTAGTTTGAGGTGGAACA